TTGCATTCGTTAAAATCCCTAGAGTCACCAAGCTACCGAGGGAGTTCAGAATCGCTGAAGTCCTCCTCAATAGGCAGGGCGTCCCCCTCAGCTGCGGCATCGGGCGGACAGTAAACGGATACCGAATCCTGCTCCGGATGGTCTGCTTGGCGAGCGAAGGGGGGTCTCTTGTGTGTCTTCTGCTGACCAACGGTAAACCGACAGATGGCCTCCAGAGATTCCACACCTACAGCGTAGAAAAGTCAAGACAAATATAAGGCGAGAAAGGTTAATCGAGTGCGTAAAACAGCCGCTCATACTTCCCACACTACCGTTACCTAATAGGATTATAAATTATCAGTATTTGAAGACTCATCTTATGTTACCCTAGACACTGAATGTACGCCACAACCCTTGCCATCACAACAAACAGCCTACAGAAGGGAACAGTTTCCGATTTACCCTGAATTGTGAAAGAAAAAAATGGTTGAGAAAGCCAAACAGACCGTCTGCGTGTGCCCCACACGACCTGTTTCTGACACACGACATGCCGAGTTTACATACAATTGGGGTGGGTTGTGTTGGTTTAACATTCGTAGGAATACCACAACGACCATATGGAGGAGCGGAAAAAAACACTTCCCACTTACATTAGAGGTGAGGGTTAGTGTGCGGTGTATAAACTCGTGGGAGACGGGTGATAATTGAGTAATTTTTGCGGTGGTTCGCCGCAGATTTCAATGGAGGCGCATACGGCCGAGTAGGCCCACATATATTAGAACATTTACATTTTATGTAGTGTGCGGAGAACTTAAGTGCTCAAAAGCATTTCTGCCTCTTTTGCGCACTTTAAACACATAGCTTGGACGGAGTACAACCAATTGATTAATTGCGACCACAGTATTGTCCTCTTCGATGAATTTCGTTCAGTTTCTCTTGCTAAGAGTCGTATTGGACGCAGTGAACAAGTTGTCCTTGAAACAAATTTAAAAACGAAACCCGTCATCAAAAGTAAAGAAAAGAGCGGGACTGACTTTAGAGGTATTTGTGCCTTTGACTTAAAACAATAGCCTACTTTTACATTTTCAGTAACCCGACTTTCCTTTTTTCGTTAAATTCCACCAATAGAAGGTCGAATTTCCATTTTCATTAAATTCCGCTAAGATAGGGTCAAAGTTCCCTCAGCTAGCATCCGTAGCCTGCGCTACAGTAGTTTTTGTTGATTGAATTTTATTTTGTATATTGAAACAAAGATTATTTTATTTTAGTTGACCCAATTGTGAATAAACTCCCGGCGTTGGGTGGGATTGGAACCCGCATAACAGGGAAGGCCTTTACGCAACCAACGTTCTACCACTTGAGCCACAAACGCCACGGCTTCCGCCGTGAATTTAATCACGCTTGGATCGATTTTACCCATCTGTATAGAATCCACCAATGCGGAACAGCAAGCTGACTGCCCAAGCAGGATTTCCTAAGCAAGTATATAGAATATACCAGAATGACTACTAGGCTGACTTAATTATTTAAGAGGTTTGGCAGATTTGCTTTATTAAGTTGACCCAATTGCGAAAAAACTCGCGGCGTTCGGCGGGATTTGAACCCGCATAGCAGGGAAGGCCTTTATGCAGCCAACGATCTAGCACTTGAGCCAAAATTGCCACGCCTTGCGCCGTGAATTTAATCACACTTGGCTGACGGTTCAAATCCCGCCGAACGCCGCGAGTTTTTGCAAAATTGGGTCAACTAAATTAACCAAATCTGCCAAACCTCCTAAATAAATATAATCTTATTTAATTTAATATTTTTGATAACCTTCGCCACAATTAAATATTCATTTACGCTCGCTAGCCAATAATTAAATGTTTGACCACAAATTACGTTAGGCAATTGGGCAGGGGAATATATATTTAGAGGGCCCTACAAGTCAGTTTTGCCAAAGTAAACACGTTGGATATTTGCCTCTGGAATTACAGGAAAGGAGAAAGATTCTAAAGTTTCGAAAATAATTGCTGTTCTTGACATCCACACCACGCTTAGGCGGATAGAAGTGCGATTCAGCAGCTAAGTCGTCAGGATGGATGACGCCTACCACAAGGCAACGCCGCTACGATTTTTTGCAGACAAGGCTGACCCAAACGTCTTTATCAGGACCCCATCAGTGAACGCGCACCCGGCATAGTTAAAAAGACACTCAGAAGA